AGCAAATTAAACAATAATTATAACAATAAATAAAATTAAATAAATAACTTTAAAAAACAAAAGTAATAGTGTAAAAATCGAACTAGGTGGTAGATCCAAGGTCTAGACCAGGCTCTGTACGTGGATAATTTCCATCTTTTGTATCTCTACACAATGAAATTGGACTAGACCACCTTTGTAGAGGGTGCTTCTTGGGTGAATTTTCCATCAAATGTCAATGACTTAAAGAGAATTCATTCACCACTTTTGTAAAACTATAGGCTACATTTTGTTTGAATAAACTTGTACTGTTAGATCATTGAAAATCACTGGCTTGGACTGAAGTCTTTTTTTCCCCCCCATTTCCAGGTTAACAGGTAGAGATAGACAAAGAGGGAAAGTGAGAAATCACCCTCCAGAAGGTATGGCCATGCCGTAATCTTTTCCCCTCTTGGAATTTTGGGCAGGCACGCACATACATACACACAGTGTGATTTTCAAGCCCCCAAGCCCAGGACCCAAACCACAATCGACCATGTAGGAGGTCCAATGCCTTAACTATCATGCCACCAGCTGGCCTCCCAACCAATCTTTTAACTTTCTCACCACAGATCCACATTCTGAGACCAGTGTGCTCTACTTACTAGCATCGTAGTAAAAGTCATGACATATTTTTCTATGCAAAAATGCATCACAACTTCTCTGATGATCCAATATTTCTTCTTTTTTTTAAGAGAGATTTTTGCTATAGGGCAAGTGTGCTCACTGGAGAGACAGAGAGATAGAAAGCGAAAAATCACCCCCCAGCTGGATGGCCATGCTACAATCCCTTCTCCTCCATTCTCCTCTCAGGATTTTAGGCACACACACACACACATGCCCGGTGTGAATTTCAAGCTGCTGGATCCAGGCTTCAAACCACAGTGGGCAGTATGGGAGTCCAGCAACATAACCCTTAGACCATCTGCTGGTCCCAGCCCCAATATTTCTTAAAATGCCAATGGCAATTCCCACCTCCCGTAGTGCAGTGATTAAGTACTACACAGAGGAAGCTGAATCTGACATGACTGACCAGGGTTTGAAAGTCTCAGCACCATCAGCTTCACACGAGGCACACATTTGGATGCTCAGGATCTTGGCAGGCTGGAAAGTTGGAGGAAAAAGGACTGCAGCACGACTAACTCCATTGCGCGTGTGGGGAGGTGCTTTCTCCTTCTCTCTCTCTCCCTACTGCAAACAAAAACATCCACGTGTGCCCTCCAGCATTAAAAAAAGAAAGCACTGGGGCTGGCAGGTGGCATGGTGGTTAAGGGCATTGGACTCCCACATGGCTCACTGCAGTTCAAGTCCCAGACCTGGTGGCTTGCTTTCTCACTTTCTCTCTCTCTGGTCAAATTTAAATAAATAAATAAATAAAGCTAAATAAAATCATTCTTTTTTAAAAAAGTATTTCTGATGAATGAAATATTAAAAAATATATATATATTCTCAGGACCAGCAGATGGTGTAAGTGGTTAAGGTGCTGAACTCCCACGTGGCTGACCACAGTTCCAGTCCCAGATCCTGCAACTTGAAAATCATGCCAGGGGTGTGTGTGTGTGTGTGTATGTGTGTGTGCCCAAAATCCCGAGAAAATGAAGGAAAAGGGATTGTGGTGTGGCCATCTCCCCTGGGGAGTCACTTCTCACTTTCCCTCTCTCTGTCTCTCTCTGGCAGGTTTACACACTCTATGACAAAATTCTTTAAAAAAATAATAATAACCTATTTTTTCCCATTAAGAGAGGAATCAATGAAGTCATTATTTTTATTAAATAAAATGATCTATCTATTGAGGGCACTATCACTTGCTCACTGTATTTTATCTGTGTTTTACCTTCCTTTCTATCTTCTTTGAAGATACGATTCATATCTACTTCATCTTTCTGTCTCTACAGGTTTTCAGCCAGTGTACCTCATATATAAAAGGCATTTTAAATATAAATTAAGAATGTCTCTTCCAGGGCCAGCAACTGGCATGTGGTTAAGGTCCTAAACTCCCACGTGGCTGAGCATAGTTCAAGTCCTGGACCTGGCTTTGAAAATCATATCATGTGCATGCCTCCAATCCCAGGAGCGTGGAGGAGAAGGGATTGCAGCGTGGCCATTCCTCCCTGGGGGATGCTTTCTTACTTTCCCTCTCTCTGTCTCTCTCTGGTGAGCTCACATGTCCTATGGGGAAAAACAAGTTTCTTCCATTTTCCATTACGGGTTTTCTTATCCTTTTACATGTATCCTATCTTTCCATGAAGGCTTTCTTGACATCGCAATCCACAGTTCATTTCTACTTTTGAACTCTTAGAAGAACTGGGTTGTGCTGTAGTACATGCTCTGCAAGGCTGACCCACATGGGAAGAGTTTGGGTCTAGACACCTCCCTGAATATGCAGGCATGGGTATGCCCATGATCTCGGGCTGGTGTATCCAGCATGAAAGACTGTTAGTGAAGCCTATCTCTCTCTTTCTTGTTCATAAAATAAATTTTTAAAAATAAAAAAGAACCAACTGCCTACAAACCATTTAATTGCCACCAAAATACTCTATTGATGGTGCTGGCAGATGGTGTGATGGTTAAGGTGCTGAACTCCCATATGGCTGACTGCAGTGTGAATCCCAGACCTGCCAGCTCACTTTCTCACTTTGCTTTTTTCACTCTCTCTGTCTCTCTGGTCAAATTGAATAACAACAACAATAATAATAAATAAAATTAAATGAATAGTTCTAAATTTTTTTTTTAATTATGACTGCAAAGCTATTTAATGTAGAAATTAGGGTTTGCTTTCTTCTTTTTAACAATGGTATTGTGTGAACCAGTAGGTGGCATGGTGCTTAAGGGTGATTCGGGTCCTGGACCCAGCAGCTTGAGTGTGTGATTTCTCATTTTCTCTCTGTGTGTCTCTCTCTGTCACTCCAGGAAGTACATGTGCCCTACAGCAAAAATCTCTCTTAAATAATAATAAAAAATAAAATTAAATAAATAAATTGTAAAAGTACTGTTTCCTTTTTATGTACATTTTATAGGTTTTTTTAAAAATTACTTTATTTAACTTTATTTATTTTAATTTGACCAGTGAGGGACAGAATGAGAGAGAGAGAGACAGAGAAAGAAAGCGAGAAAGCAAGCTGCCAGGGACTCGAATCACACTTGGTCACGTGGGAATCTAGTGCCTTTAACCACCACGCCATCTGCTGGTCCTGCATTTTATAATTTTCTAAGAAAAATCTTTCAGTGTATCTCAACAACATCTAGACACAGCATAGACAATTAACAAATGCTAATTCATTTAATGAACCTTTTAAAAATCAATCAGGAGAAAAAAATCAATCAGGAGGCTCACTGGGAAAAGAATATTCAAAATGGGAACCTAAAGAGAACAAAACGAGTGTTGCTACACGTGTGAGCCCCAGCCCAGTAGCCCTGGTATCACCGGAAAGCTCAGTCTGAGGCAGAATCTCTGGTCCCACCCCAGGCGTCCTGAATCATAACCTGCATTTGAAGGTGCTCAGGTGATCTGTACTCATGCTACAATTTGAGAACCAGTGGTTTAGACTCTGGAGGAAGAATGAAAATGTCCAAGATGCATATGACTAACACTAAATTCCTCACTGAAATCGCTTACTTGTTGGTCTCCCTTATCTGCTAACTGAAGGCTTGTTGAGAACAGGAACATTTTCTGTCTTATTCATCACTAGTAACTTCCTGGGCCTAATGGAGCCTAGAATAGGACCCAGTACTCAGTATTTTGTTGAATGTAGGAACGACTGAACCAAGTAAAAATAAAATGCTTAGAGTCGGGGCACTGGACTCTCACACAGCCAGCTGCTGTTGGAATTCTAGATCTGGTGGTTTGAAAATCACTCCAGGTGCGTGTGCATGTGTACCCCAAATTCCAAGGAAACACTGAAGAAGAAGGGACTGCAGCGTGGTCATTCCCCCCCCCCCACAATGATTTCTCACTTTCCCTTTCTCTGTCTCTCTCTTTGTCTGTCTGTCTGTCTCTGTCTCTCTCTGGTGCACAAAAGGGTCCAATGACAAAAACAAATAAAATGAAATAAATGTTTTCAGAAAACTCATCCTTTAGTAAATTTTTTTTGTACAACAGGATTTCGCTACCATTCAAACTCACTCAGTATTATTAATTCAATTTTAAATGTGCCTCCCTTTCTACTTCAACAAATGTATTTTATGCACTTAGCAAAGGGGATGTTGGGATTATCTTCATCTGTTGGAGCCACCAAGGCCCTTCTTCACCAGAGAGATAGCTGTATTTTAATTCTGGCTCTCACCAATCCATCTCATGTGCCTGCACAAGATTTAATCAGCACCACGACTGGAAGGTGGGAGAGCAGAGGAGATAGGGCAAAGCAAAACAATTTGATATACAGTGTATCCTATGAAACCTAAAAACCACCACTCTTTGAACAAGAGACATCCAGAAAATAACTGCCCACAAGAAAAAGAAATAACAGGTAAGTGAATCCTGACCTTTCTCAAGAGCAAAAGGTGATACCAGAGAATCCGGGGAATGATGAAAGCCCAGGACTATCTATCACCGACAGGTGGAAACACAGCAGGGCAGAACTAGAGCGGATAGCGGTTAGCGACGTCCAAGGAGGGTGCCTGAACCCACTTTCAGGTTGGCGGAGAAGGAAGTCAAGGGAGAATGGGAAAAGGAAGCGGCTCTGTGAGGGGGACAGATTATGCTGCTGCTGCTGAATTTCTTTTTGGAAAGGAGAGATGATATCCTCTTGGAAGAGGGGAGTAGGGCGGAAGGAGGAGTGCCAGGTACCGCACGGCAAAAGGAGCGGTCCTGCCCAGCTCCGACGCCCAGGCGGCAGCCAGGCTCAGGTGGGCGGCCACGCCGGCTCCGGCGGCCGCCGCCCCATGGCCCGAGTGTCCGCTAGAAGCCTGCGGAGCCCAGCGGGGACGGAAAGGGCAGACCGCGTGTGGGTGGGTGTGCGGAGGCCGGGGCGCCAGGTACCCACCTTGTCCCAGCGGAGCCACTGCTCGATGGCCGTGTCCAGCTGGGGGTCCCCGGTGCGGTAGGAGGCGTGGAGCACGTTGGAGTTCAGGTCCCCCTCTGCGTTCTCAGCCATGGCAGCCAGATGAGGGTGTGCGGGCCTGGGGTGCTGCAAAGACGTCGAGCTGGGGGGGTGGGGGCTTGGGGTGCGCTCACCAGGGTCCGGACGTCCCCTTCTCACTGAAGGGCATCGGAGACCAACCGCAGCGTGTGTGCGCCAGCTCCTGTCACTCTGAGGAAAGGGGAGAGAGGGGACCACGGCCGCACGCTGCCCGGCAGCCAGGTCCGTTCTCGCTCCGGAGCTGACCGAGGCGGTCGCGCCGACAGAGAACAACAACAGTCGCAGATGTCTGGGTCGGGGCCGCCGCCGCCCTCGCCGCCCTGGCCCCGCCCCTCAGCGCAGGCCCCGCCCCCGCGGGTTTAAGCCCAGGAGGCACGAGGCTCGAGCCCGCGAGCGCGCCCCCGGCACCTCCGCCGCGGGGTCGGATGCAGTCCGCCGAGGCGGCGAGACTGCTCTTATTTCTTAAGGTGCCCTTCACCAGGCGTATGGTCCTAGTGACTATCTCACGCCCTCCCACGTGTCTTCTTTCCTGGGTCTGGTCACCACGAGTCGCCTCCCTGAGCCCTGGCGGGCCCCCCGTCTCGTTTGGGGGAGAGGCTGGGGGAGCTGTTCGCGCGCTGGCCGCGCGCGGCCTCACGGGAGTTGTAGTTCTTTCTTAATTCCCTAGGCTTTGCGGATACAGCCGCAAGGACTACGACTCCCAGCAGCCTCGCGCCCTGCGTTGCCTCCGAGGAAAAAGATCTACCTCGAGGCTGTTGCCTGCGGACACACCCTGCCCTGTTCGTTAGGCTTCGTATAGTGACCCTGGCGTGACAGCGTTAAACAAGGAGTGACGCAGTTGGGGCAAATCTAAAATGCAATTAATGTTTTACAGTTTACGAATCGCTTTCTATCGCTTCAGCCACCCGGTGAGGCAGGTGGGCGTGATTCCGTTCGCATTTTACACACAAAGGGGAGATTGGCACTGAAAGGTGAACGGCATGCGAGAGGCAGTTCGTGAGGGATGGAGCTAGGGATGCGACTTCGTTCCAGATCCCCTCAGTGGGCGGGCATGTGGCTCTGAGCTACCGGTGGACTAGGAGGTAGGGACAGCAGGACGATTGGAAAGTGGACAAGGAGGTGATCAAGGACAAGGTGGGAATTTAACCGTAAGAAGAATGTATGCGCGTCCTAAGATAGGAAGAGCAATGGCAATGGAATACAGAAGATGGAGAAATTGTTCTCCCAATGGAAATACACTTCGATTTCTTCTAATCTTTCCACCTGCCTTCTGTGAGATGCTCCAGTCACTCATCTTGAGGTCTGAACCCTGCAGAGAAATGCTTACCTGCGTTTTTCGCCTTGGTCTTCTTAACAATGGCTATGATTCTGACCACGTCT